GAGAAATTTTAAGCATTTTAAGAGATTTACACATACGTACACCACGTCTTGACGCCCATGAGTACGGTAATGGCCCAAAGAGTTGACTCCTGATATGAATAGTGTCAGGAACACAAAATATGTAACAAAACGTAATTTTGGGGGTCACCTTTCATCCTAAGGAGCTATAACTGATTAAAAATAGGCCTAATTTTAGCATATTTTCACTGTATATCAGCACAAATCCGTGCAAAGATACCTATGTTTGATGCACACGTACGGTATTGTTATTGGCCATAAGATGACCGAAAAGAATGGAATTTTGTAAAAACAATGTCATGGAGAGAAAGAAAGAATAAAAAAAAAAGATGCGCTTGAGAAGCGGGTCACCAACTAGATTTGAACTCGTCACTGAGGACGAGTTTGGTGATCTGAGCGGTGCAGATTGAAATGTTTGAAAATTCTCAAAATGGCCTAAAATATGCTCTAGTTAGTTTTAAAAAAAGTGTAATTTTAAACATTTGAAAAGATTTACGCATGCGTACGTGGACGTCTTGACGTCTGTGCACAAGTTAATGGCACAAAAAGTTTACTCGTGGGCCAGGATTTATCAATGTCAGCTAAGCAAATGTCTTAAGTCAAAAAAGTTAAGATGTCACTAATAAATATCGCTTAAGCTGATTTATTACCCAATCTTAGCAAAATCTTGGCTTAAAAATCATCTTAGATGGTGCCCACGTACAATTTTCTAATTTTAAGAAATTTTTAAGCTAAGCAATATCGATAAATTTGACTTAAGCAAGAAAAAGTACTTAAGACGAATTTAAGCTGAATTCTAGTTTGATAAATGTGGCCCCTGTTTATGTTTATGAATACAGTGTCAGGAACCCAAAACATGTAACAAGAAATTATTTCCCAGCTTCTGTGCGTGCAGTGCGCGTGGAAATTAGCGTACGGTGCGTAAATTATGGAAAGTTTTGGGGATGCTGAAAATGACCTAAAACGTGATTTAAATTATCTGAAAAGTGTTATTGAGAATTCCCAAATTTTACCGTACACACACGTCACGACATGCTCGTGGACGGTAATGGCACAAGGAATTAACCTTCTATCAGTCTGATAGCGTCAAAATACAGTCTGCCGCCCTCTATCTGAAAAGTGATATTGAGAAATTTCCTAATTCTACCGTACACGCACGTCACGACGTGCTCGTGGACGGTAATGGCACGAGAAAATGATCCTTGTCAAGGGTAATTTAAAAACACCTGTTGGTTGGTAATTCCACACAAATTTTCCATTCATAATGTACTATATATCAATCTGATAGCGTCGAAATACAGTCTGCCGCCCTCTATCGTCAATGATATTTGATAAAATTAAAGAAAGAGCGATGAGAAGGCGCCAAAGATTCATTCTTTTTTACCATGATTACATCATCAAAATGAAAAAAAATAAAGGGACACTTCCAAAAGAGAATTTTCTCAGCTATAACATACTCACAGGTGGCAGACGATCAATCAAGAATAAGCGAGATACATTCAAACGAGTATAAAAATAATGACGTCATAAATAAAAATTCAGTTTTTCCTAATTCAAATGCCAATATGATGACGTCACAATGTCTGATCAGCCATTATGATCTATAAAATCACATCTACAACTCATGTGCTTTCAGAATATGATAATAATTGGGGGTTACCTTTCATCCCAAGGAGCTATAACTGATTAAAAACATTCATGGTTTTAAGCATAATATATAAATTTTGACGCACGCGTACATGCACGCAAAAAAGCGCAAACAGAAAGTTAAGGTACATGACGTTCAACCTTGACCTGAAGATTATGCCCACTTAATCATGAGGCAAAAGTCCCCGTTAGCAGAAATGGTCCATAGTGAGTTGTCTGATAGTTGAGAGTGAGCTGTCAAATGGTCCAGAAGGAGCTGTTAGCAGCTCCATAAACTTAACTTTAATTGGTTTTAAGAATGTCCATTGGGAGTTAACAAGAGAGTCCTGGCCAGCAACATCCAGCCATTGGAATGTAAACAAGAAACCCATTACAATCACTCACTTCATCTCATGGGCTTCAGTGGCAATAAATAATTTACAGTAAGAACCCATCGCTATTCAACAAACCAGCAGGATTTATAACCCGGGTTTTTTCCAAAAGCCGGGTGCCATGGACCAGTTCTGTTAACGGCCAAAAATGCAGCATGTATGATTCAGAAATGATGTATGGTTAAAATGATATGAGCTCATCAATGTTTTGAGGAAAGAAAGATGTGTGGGGGGGGGGGGTCAGAAAAAAAAAATTTTTGACCATGATCATGTCATCAAAATGTCAAAAGAAGTTATATATATAATTGTATCAGCTATAATATACTCAAAGTTGGAAAACGATCAATCAAGGATAAGTGAGATACGCTTAAATGCGTATTTTCAAAAATGACGTCATAGCTAAAATTAACTATCTTTGAATTCAGATGGCAATATGATGACGTCACAATGTCCGATCAGCCATTATGATCTATAAAATCATATTTACAACTTATGTGCTTTCAGAATATGTAATAAAAATTGGGGTCACCTTTCATCCTAAGGAGCTATAACTGATTAAAAATAGGCCTGATTTTAGCATATTTTCACTGTATATCGGCACAAATCCGCGCAAAGATACCTATGTTTGATGCGCACGTACGACATTGCTATTGGCCATAGGATGACCGAAAAGAATGGAAATTTGTGAAAACAATGTCAGGAACCCAAACTATGTGAAAAAACGTAATGTCCAGCTTCCGTACGTGCTGCACGCATGAAAATGCGCACGTAGAGAAAAATTTTTAAAAATTTAAAAATTCTTAAAATGGCCTGAAACCTGCTCTGATGAAGCGCACATGTAAAACTAAGGTCCAGTACATTCAACATTAGCCCGAAGTTAATGCTCACTTAATACGATTTCGAAATGGCAATTGGTTAGGCTGATATGATTGATAATGTAAAAATGCAAAATTGCACGTAGCTGACGTCACGCATGACTGGTCACCTTGAAAACCTTACCGTGGCTATTCCTGGCGAAGCCGAAATGATCGATGAAGTGACCATGTGCGTAACTCGTAGCAATTTCGAGATATCATGCGAACAGAAATGGGGAGAAAGAAAGAATAAAAAAAAGAACCTGACAATAAAAAGAGGTGATCCGCTCGAGAAGCGGATCACCGATAAATTAGTAATTTATCTTGTACTAATCGTTGCAATTATAATTATTAACAATTATAAAAATGGTATATAAAAGTATGTATATCATAATATAACAAATTGTTCATTTATATACTTACAGTAGGACATTTGCATACATGTGCCACTACAATACCAAGGTACTACATTTAGTCAACTGTTTTTTTTTTATTAACATCCAGAGTTCAAAGAATATGAAAAACAGTGACACAGTTATTATGTTATCCAGTGAAATATCACGATTTGTAAGGGCTAAAACGTGGTATGAGTATTATACCCGATTCACACGTGAAGTTAAATTTAACAAAAAGTAACAAATTGTAACCGAGCGATCTCCCGAGTTATTCCTACCGAGATAAAAAGCATTCACACGCATCTGTAAGGTAATGCCAAGGTTGTGTAAAATTTATTCAGTGTTTATTCAATGAACCATTTTTTCCCCTACTGCGATATAGGTCTAGCCTGGGCCTAGTTGAGAACCCCTGTCACAGATGGACTGTTGAACTCACCATCACAGTAAACATTCGAAGCAATCAAATACCCTTAACAACTGCTGTAGTACTACTGTACTACTAAACTAGGCATAGCTTCCAACGTTTCTGTCTCGGACTCTTGTAATACTAGTAATAGTACTAACACCATCCCGACGTTCATTTTATGTATATCTTCTTCTTCTACCATTACTAATTAACATCAATAACAAGGGTAATTCATTCATCATTTAGAAAAACTAGGCCTATCTATTTCTAGTGGATCAGAATCGTATACAGAAGGAAGAAAATTCAAAGAACCCTGTGAAACAGTAGATTTTTGTTGTGCTGAAATCCCTGCGCATGTGCAGATCCATCCATGTTACATCTCGGAAGCTTTACCAGCCTCAGCGAGGCTGGTAAAGATTACCGAGACGTTCCAAGATTTTACAAGGATATTACACGGAGGTACTTTCACACGTGCCGTAAAATGTTACTTTTGGTTACATTTTGTTACATTTGGTAAGATTTTTGTACGTGTGAATCGGGTATTAGTTTAATGACGAGACAAAGGCCCAAAAATCCGCAGCTTTGAAGTTTGGCTTGAATTTGTTTCTTTGTCCTGTTATATTTTTCCAGAATAAATACAATTTAAAAAATTACAATTCCCTATTTATATATGTGGCAAAGACAAGCCAAACCAGTCACTCGTCGCAAAAATCGATTACAGGGTTAAAGTGTAAAATAAGAGCTATAAAATGGTAAAAAAATCATTCAAATCCGACATTTCCTACAAGCACCTAAACTATACTGTATGTATGGTGTGTCAGAATTCCGTTGGTTTTTTTTCTTTGTGAAGAGAATATTAGGGGGTGGCATGCGCCACGTACACCTCCTCTAATGACTGCGAATTATTGGTCATGATGGCTGTGCCAACTGTCCAAGTGCTACAATTTCAACCTTCTACTTCTACTTGCAAATATAAAGAACTGTGATGACAATACGGGAAACCAAACTGTCTTGTAATTAAAATGTTACAGGCGGCATTAATGTGTCAGTATTAATTCGAAAATACATCAATAAAAATAATACCCAATATTTCGACAGAAAAGCTAGGCAAATAACACTATATCGTTACTGAAAGGAGGAAAGAGCTAGCATATTGAATTGTCTGAAAAATATGACAATTAGAATGATATATTAATTGGTGGACATTTATAATGTGGGCATAGTATTGAAAGTGAAATTGCTAATGATGTTCTTTTTAAGTTTATCACATTACATACATTTGAATGAAAACATTTAATTTGATACTTACCTGTGCTGTTTTTATCTTTAATAATGACAACACTCTCCGTAATACTTAATTTAGCTCCACTGTCAACTTCAACCACATTAATTTCTGAAATTCTTCTTTTTTTATTTATTTGACACATGCCTGGAAAAGTATAATTATATTTATTGCCTCATTAATCCTGGAGTACAATGTTTTTCAGTTGGGATTTGTTTTTAATTGAAGATTATATATAAAGTTGCATGTTTCTAAAGTTGCATGTTTCAAAAAAAAAAAAAAAAAAAAAAAAACCCTCACTTATTACCACCCTAGCAATAGCAAAAGTTCAAGTTACATTAATGTTAAGTTGGTTTTTTTGCTTCATAATTTTCTTTAGAATGACTTTCTTAAATTTACAGTATCTTTTATTTCATACTTTTTAATAATGTTTTAATTTTTTTTTTTTTTTAAATTTCAAACCTTACTTACTTCTCATTATATCAATGATGAAAATCCCTATGTTCTGTTGTTGGAAACAATTGTATTTCATTTATTTCAGTAAATGTCAAATACATTGAAATATAGAATAGGAATTTTGTCCACCTAGTTCCACATATCCTGCAATCTCGGTAAAGATAAATCACCCTCGTATAATTGCTGTTAGATAATGTGTTTCCACCCGAAACACATTTTCTAACATATTTTCTTCCTTTTTTGTCAATCTTGCTCACAGATCTAATTTATTTATTTAATTGTAGGATAGGCTAGCTGGATATCGTTTTTCACTAGAGTTCATGAGAGGTAACTGTTCCAACGACCCTTTAACTTTTGAGGGTTCAAAGTTCGGGAGAACAAAGCAGTAAAAAGATCCTTCAGTTTTTATGTAGATTTTTTTAAGATTTTCTTATGTAATTAATACTAGGATAAATTTTTTTTATATTTCCTTTAATTGTGAAAGCCCATAAAAAAAGGCAACATTTTTTTATTATGTGCTATAATACAAGACATACATTTATTAAATCCCCAATTAAAGCTTCTATGTGTGTTCTAAAGGCCTAAGTGTTGGTAAGGGTACACTATCTCCATAAATAACATGGTTAAACTAATTTTGCTCGTCAGTGATTGAACTAATATAATTACAAATAAAGATTCGGCAACAGGTTTTTTTCAGCTTCACCCAAGTACTGAACGCATGTTGGCATACAACAAAACAATTAGACTGTTCTTCTATGCCCTGCTCAACTAAATTTTTTGCTAAGACTCCACAAATAAGGGACAACACGTGTATGTAATGGTATAGTGTATTTCCCAATTCTTCGAAGACCGATTTTATTACTGTGTATTCTATACCTTCATGTGTTAACATCTGTTTGAAACATTCTTCAATCTTCCTCTTCTCCTTCTTACGGAAGTAATGTGTGTAATCCTTAACTGTTATACAAAATTAAAATATATTTTTCAATGTTAAAATAAAGTAAGTAAGTAAATGCAACAGATTTATTTTATTTTTTAAAAATATTTTTTAATTACTTTTGATAAAGAATATAGTATAGATACTTGCTTTTTCCAGCCAGTATTATAAGATCATCACAATCTTCTTTCATAGTTTTATGAGCTGTTAAAGGAAACATATGTGCATTATATCCAATTCTATATTGTCACAATGAATAGACACATTACAATTCATCTGTTGAATGGACAGCATCTTAAAAGTTAACCTTATCAATTTTAAATACAATGTTTTCAATAAAACATGTTTTTTATATATAATTTTTATTTTTTTACAAAAAAAAATTACTAAATTTGTATTATTTTAGGTTGAGCAAAGGTCTTCAACTTTCCAAACTCCTATACAATGTTTTTATTATAATTATATAAATATATTTAAAAAAAAAACATAAATCAACCTCACCTTCTTAGTATACCAACAATTTGCACTACATGTTTAATTTTGTCTTTAGTTGTTTATCAGCAGAATTTACACTTTACATTAGTAGATAATGATAGTTGTTTTAGAAGGTTTTCTAATCTAATTTCCCTTTTACAAAAACTTTATTTAACTTTAGGCCCCAGCTCTTTGTAAATAAAATATACATTAAAGCAGTCGGACATAAAAAAAAAAAAAAAATAGGCCTAGTTTTCCAATCCCAGCCATTTCCGGCCATCTAGAAGTCCCAATTTAAAAAAAAATCTTGTTTTGGGAGGAGGGGACACCCCCTCTCATACCCACCTCCGGCTCGGGCCTTTGGCCCTCAGATAACCCTGCGCACTATAGTTGCACCCATTATTACTTAGCCCCCTCAGTCGGACATCTTGGCCACCCCCATAAATTATATCCTAGAGCCACCACTGAAGTGAAGAATCACGGGACTTAAAATTCAAAATATGGCTGACACTGTATAAGCCTTGAAAGAGTTAACCGAGCATAATTTGCATAAAAAACTTGATGTTTATTTTATACATGAATAGTACAAAGAAAGAACCGGTAGTGCCTGCCTTGTAATACGTAACACATGAGCTTGCGGTCTGTATCTTGTCTTAGCACACTTTTGAAGCCATTAGATGGCAAGTAATTGGATTTTCGATTACAACTCCTGAGGACCCGGTCTGTGGCAGATAAATGTGTTTCCCATTCCTTTGTTCGAGCCACCTAGGCAGAGGTCCGGGATTGCGCCAGGGTGGTGATGGATGGTGACCCCGAAGAGTATGCATCTCATTTTGTCTATCTTTCCTATCCATGTCTGGTCCGACACAAATAAATATACATTAAGATTAAATAAATAATTAAAATTAATTAATTCCCATAATAATGCGGAAAATGGCTACATGTACAATCAGGTGGAAAACAGCGCCGCGAGCACCCCTACTAGGGATGGACACGTGCGCCTAACAAAATATGACATTATTATTATTATGCCTCCCTAGGCCTAGGGAGGCCTACAGTAGTGATACCGCTATATAAGATTCGATGTTTCTCACTGGACATTTTAGAAATCTACACAATCAGAAGAACCAATCATATTATTACAAATCTAATTTTTTTGTTTTTTCTTTTTGTTTTGTTGGCTTAACTGTGTACGCTGCATTAAATTGTAACATTTTTGTACCATTCAGCGCGCGGTGATTGACCTAAACATTATGTAAACAGAATTACAGTCAAGCTCGAATATGCTTTAGTGGAAAAAGTCAAAATAATTTTCATGTCACTTCATCTTACCTATGAATGGATTTAATGAGTCAGTGACCGAGTATTAGATCTGACTGATGCCACTCAGTATTATTAGCCTACTGCTTACCTTCTTGAACACTGTTGAATGCAGAATTTATTTCAGGAACACACTGCGGGATTAAATACGCTTTGTTCTCGTCAACTGTTGAAATATAAATCAAATAGGGCCTATATTTACAGTTACCATTTCCACCATGAATGTTGAAAATCATTGGTTAAATAATAAACCATTATTACATATGCTGCTTCTAATTCTAAAATATCATACAATGAGTCTTTGGTTGGGGTTTGAAAATTCGCAAATTGTATGTCATTTCTTATAGTACAAATACTCAAGGCGCCGTAAATTATTTTTGGATACAAGAAAAATGAACAGGATAGGATTTACCTCTCTAAATATAAGCTTGGAGCGCATTAACCACTGTATAAGTACACCTACAGTACATGGTCTTAATATGCATTGGAAAGACCCCACAAAATTATTATTGTTATTGTTATTATTATTAGGAAGTGTTTATTATGCCGGCGCCGGCAAATATGCCAAAATAGTTATTTTGCCGGTCTATTTCTTTGATTGGCTATTGTAAAATATTACATCATCAAATTTTCGGTAGCGAGTTAAAAGTTCTGCAGATGCTGGCAGAGACTGCCCTTAAAAAGCTTCTTTCTACTAAATTGCTGGTTGGAATCACAAATAGTGATACAAAGTAAAGGCTTGTTAGGGCCATTGAATCAAGTGTAGTTCTCAGCCATTGTCTGTACCTTGGGCCTTCGCACACTGGACAATCCAGCTAGGTGCTGTTGTTATGGTTGTTTATAGTTTTCTGGTCTCTTTGTTTGTATTCGTAATAAGCAATAGTACAATAGAAAAATTATTATACGAAGGTTAGATTTATGCTTGAGAAAAATTCCCGAAGGCCTACTAGGCCCGAAGGAAATTTTTGAATGCATTAAATTTAACCTAAGTATAATAATTCTCCGTTAGTATACGATACGTGCTCTACTAATTGCTTTATAAATCAATCGCCGTCTTTTAATGTTAGTTTTGATAACCAACTGTTGTGAGCGGGGTCGTAAAACACAGGGGCAGAATAGGTTGTTTTTTGGGGGGCGCTAGACATTTGTGGCAATATTGGTTGTGAGGTTGCTAGACATTCTCTAAAACTCGTTATTTTTCAAAATATTTAAATATCATGAAGGTCTAGAATATTCCTATTTAGTTTAGTTTATTATGGTTCATTGATTCAAGGAATTGCTTAATTGTTCATACTTAATATTGAATCACTTCGGGTTCTAATTAACCTTATTTTACGAAAGTAATTTCCAATTACAATTCAATTTTCATCGCAGTGCGCGATAGCTTCGCGATGACAAAACCAGAACCCTGCGGGTGTGTACGTTCCTTTGTACGTAAACGTGGTTTAGAGGAATATGTAGTCCAGTAATGGTTTCTAATGTTTTTACGTACACCTACACCCCCAGACAGGTCCGTCCATCAAATGCTGTATATTTACATACCTGCAAACATTTGAATATCAAAAATAGGGACGCTATTCATTGGTGACAAAAAATTAAGATGGCAATTATATCCTAATTCCTGTACAGTTGCTTCAAACAAAACAAGAGTTACTTAATTTCAAGTGTACTGTTTATTTACATTTTGAAGTATGATTAACATTTTCGGGTATCCAAAGCTGTCATGTCCTAAAAACCTCCCACCTTAACCAAAACCATAGTAGGGCTGGGGTGGTGTTGGGTTACACCACAAAATGTCCTTCATTTTTATTTTTTCACAACTTGACTGGTCAAACCACAGGACCAAAGTTGGCGGTTTTAGAAGTCAAACTTATCCATTTATCATCTACTAAAATAGTCTTCATTGTTTGACATACCTCCTCCGTGGTTTGACAACAAATTTTCTTTCGTTCTTCGTTCAAAATCTGCTTAGTGACACGCATGCGTAATAAGTAGAATAGTTATCACAATACTGCTCTGCAAAATGCATGTCATGCATGCGCTGTATGGTGGTAGATAAAACGTGCCTCGGTCAATGATTTATTTTCGAGTTTGCAGAGAGTTAAGAATACGGAATACTCATTTATTTTACATATTCAAGTATACATGACATAACTATGTTGTAAACCAGTAAAATTACACAGCAGTCGTAAACAAAAAACTTCATAATACTGACGACAAGTACGTTTTTCTGTGTTCAAAGTACAGTAACTGTGCACAATTAGTTTTTTTCTGCACCACTTTCTTTTCGTTTTTTTATATATAGGCCTAGAGAAATTTCATTTCAACGATTGTAAATACAATTGCCGTGTTCATCGTGTGTAAAAGACTTTAGGTAGGTAAGCACATTCGATTCAATACTATAATGTAAAATGTTGTTCAGATCACATTAATTTTTACTAAAACACACGTTACACCTACTAGACGACAAGCAGTAGTCAACTTACCACAACTACCTAAGTTCACGCTAGGGCCTAGACGTTCGCATAAACAACACAGACAACTTCTCTAGTGTAAACTGTATACTCTCGCGATAGAAAACAAAATTTCTGCAAAATATTAAACACGTTCGATCCAATACCATTATGTAAAGACCGTGTTTGATTAGATCACTTTTTTTTCATTTTTAATAACATGTGCGCCTGCTACATTAACACGACAGAGGCCTAACCCTACCGACGATCCCGTAAACAATTGGTTAACTACACCAACAAGGTATGCATTATGGAACTCGCTTACCCTCTCGCGATGAAAAACAAAATGTCGGCAAAGTTTTCCGACGCATGCGCATATCAAAATTTTCTCCTAAAAATGACTCAAAAAATGGTGGTAGTGTGTGTTTTATCGCGTACGTCCTACATTTCTCATCTAACTAAAAAACAAACAATTCTTGCACAACTACATGTCCACCAGTTACTATGAGGAAAACATTATACCCACCGTGAGGCACCGTTTAGGAGCCTATTCGTTTACAAACCCGCTGCCACTTTGCTCACACACACACACATACATTTCATGTTCAAATTATCCCATTAGTTCCTTGTGACCTTAAGGTCACAAAGGAACTAAAAATTAGGAATTTTTTTTTTGCACACGAACCTAATAAAATCAAGCCAAGCGTCCACTATTTGAAAAATTAGTGGACTGTGGGGGATAGGCAAATAATTGGGAGTTGCAATGATGACGTCACGATTGACTTATAAACAGTATTTTTGTTCATATTTTGTCTATAGCCAGCATGGTTGTGTTGTTACTGTCAGTGTTAGGTTCCGTCCAACTTGTGTGTTTTTATCATTATGTTTAGTTATACATTATATAGTACGTATAATAAAACTATTATCCAAACATTTTTTCCCACAGAAAAATAAAGAAAAGTCAAGTAAAAAAGATCCGGGTCATCTATGGGTGTTTGTTCATAATAATGCAATGCATGTTTTTCGAAGTCAGAAGGATCATCTTAAACTTCAACACTATTGTGATACAAAAGATCACTTCTACAACCAATTGGAAGAAATGGTGGATAATATTCCAGACAGAAGATCTGTTCCTGTTAGGCAACTTCAATGTAAGAGTTGGTACAGACAATTACAGCTGGTCTACATGCATTGGACAAAATGGTGTTGGCAAGATGAATGAAAACGGACAGCGTCTCCTTGAAATATGCAGTTTCAGACGTTTCTGTGTCACTACCACCCTCTTTAACAAGCACAGGAGAAAGGTCTCATGGATGCACCACCGGTCACACCAATGGAACGTTATAATAACACTTTCTGTTGGCAAAAGGTGGTGTAGCCTGTGTGAGGGACATTTGCTTTTTCCAAAATATTGTTGGCATAATCGGGCGTGGTTTTCAGCGACAACGGGAAGACCAGAGACTAAAATTGAATTTTAGTTGAATTTGTTCTAGAGCTTAATTTGGACTGAGCATACTCCATGACAGGGCGAATAATACTAACATAAAATTGGGAAAGTTCTCTTACCCCCAGCCCTGCTCTACGTAGTTGTTTTAGAAAAAAATAAACGGGTATTACATTTAGCCAGTAAGGCCTCAATATGCAAATTCCAAGATAGATCGCAAGACAATGTAACACCAAGGAGCTTCGTATGCGTCACACTGGATAAGGATATTTGATTGCCGTTTATAACAAGTGGGGCAAACTCTGACTATCTAACTTTACAGCTAGAGGGCTGCAGTTCACCCTAGCGGCAGCCCCTCTCCCTCTCTGTAGTGCCGCCACTGGGTAAGTGTGTCCCAAAATTATTGAATTGTGTTCAAAATATAGGACATTCAAATAGTACTGTTTGAATATATATACCGTACCTGTAGGGGAAAATTACAAAATCCTACAAAAAGGCATATATAATTACACTGTGTATATCAATAATGATGTACAGTCTGTTAGAGCAGTCTATCGATTAAAGACCATCATCGTCTGCTGCACTTCAAAAAACTGCACCATCAATCGGCCGCCCTACAGTGGAATGAATCTCTCATCAGCCTAGGTCGCGCAGTGGTTGAATGGATTCAAGTTTGTCTAACCAGCCACGCAAAATGGTAGGTCTGCTCTATATACACTATTACCCCAATCATCTGTCACTGTCGGCACTAGGAGTCTTTCTCTGTTTGCCAATGTCTTGATCTATATATTTTTTTCTCAGCATCGATTGGTTGTTGTAATTGTATCATTTTTAATGTTTGAATGAGAATTTTAAATGTTTCATATTTATATTTTGTATATTACTATTAATCTTTCTGTACATTTCAAATTTTCCTTAAGTTTGCAAATAAAGTTATTTTGAATCTTTTTTTTTCTTTTCTTTTCTTTTCTTTTTTTGTTTTGACATCCAAAAAAATTATCACCAGTCTGTAGTTAATTTATCAGCCATGGTGTTTTGATTTTTCGTGTTTCTTTCCCGATCCTTCGTTTGGTCTTGGTTTGATGACGTCATAATTTACATTAGCCAATCAGAGAATAGACTGGCATATCGATGTTGGCATATTCGCCAATAAACACTGCATTATTATTATTATTATTATTATTGATAGTAATTGTTATTGTCGTGATGGAATAATAGACAATAACTGGATTTGCGTCAGGAGAAACATGTATAGGTGTAATTTTGCCC